ATGGCCTCCTGAAATCATATAAAACCAGAGCCACGCCCCCTCTCCCACTAACGCACACAAGTTTTCCGAAGACTAGTTTCGTCTTGCGTGGCGTTATTGTTGAACTTGCGTTGTTCCCTTGTATAGAGTCAGGCGATTTGGCCAACTCACTTCGCTCTGGACTTGGTGTATCTATTGTTGAGGTTTGTACTTTGATTATCCTATGCTATTTGTTTAATAGTACCGTACCACCTTGATGGCTGTTATCACTGGTTTTGGCGTACGCGTGACTGCTGGATACAGTCAAAGAAGTCAAGGGACAAAACAGAGGACCACACTGAAACTATTCTGTTGTTGGTGAAAAACTAGCGTCCATCGACTCTAACATTCCCTGTGCGTGGTTTCAGGGGACGACTAAGCAGTGTATATGTTAGCCTGGATGAAAAAGCATTGGGTACAAGGTTGTAGCCCAGACCCTTAAAATGCGCAAGCTTAGTGTTCCTGATGTACCGGAGCGCTATATTCGTCGCAACTCTAACTTCACCCATAGGTGAAGTTATACTCTATTTCAATTGCTGGTCACCCCGATAGCAATTTTCTAGAGTCAATCTAGAAGAGTTCTTCTAGTTGACTCTAATGCAGAGAGGCCCCCCTTCCTGGGCCTGATTGGCCGAGGTTAGAACTGGTTGCAAGAGTCCGTATGGCTCGCCTTGGTCTAACATAACAGTTTTATTGATTAATAAAACAACGTCCTGAAAGCCTCTCTGCAAGTAGCTTAAGACCCTATTCGAAGCGAAATACGCAGTAATCTTCAAGACTGCCAACTGAATATTCAACGTAATTCTCTCCCTGGAAGTGTAACTAAGAGAATGTTCGATGCCTACTGGTATAACGTGTCGATATTCAATGTAACAAACATTCTTACTTAAATAAAATGAGTAGCAGAAAGTCACGTAGTAACATTGCACATTGATTTTGAAAAAAGTTACCCTTACTGCGGCCTGCCAGGAAGGTAGGTAAATAATATAGGTTCAGCTTCTTTCTGTTCGCCTAAAATTGCGTAAATAGACAACTCAAGATGGAATCAAAGAAATAGACAAAAGTACGTACTGCCCATTCTGTCAGTCGTATTTGTGAGCGCGTTTTCAGCACTGACAAGGAAGAGACCATCACGTGGTAGAGAGGGCACAGCCGAGGCGGTTGGACATACTGAGGTGGGAATGCTGATTATGGTGCCCATTGTGCCCCCAGAGCCGTTGCTATTGGCTCCGGCAATTGTGTAACGGGGCTGTGTGTGCGTAGTACCAGGCATAGAGACTTCGCAGACCTTTGTATCCTGCTGCTCTTCGAGGGCCGCAAATGTCGCGTACTCAGTCCCACAGAGCAACTTGATTGGACAAACGAAAGACCCGAAAAGATTAAATGTATATCAAACAAAGAATCCAAGTGCTCCCCACTAATGTCAGATTAGTGAAAAGAAGTTCGCTTTGAGGAAATTAACATTTAGGGAAGGTTGCCTTTGGGAGTTTAAAAGGAAGTACATTTGGAGATTAAATGACTTCGAAGAGGCTTTCAAAAAAGTTTGGAGGAGGCATAAGATTCAAGTTCATGGCTGAATTTCTCTGCTATAGTTGCACTTCGTGATTTTCAGTAGCCTCGATCAGTAAGTCACCCCCTTTTAACTATGCTTACTTCATGCAAAAACCAATCAGACATTGTGGAATGTGTCCGTGTTTAGTTAAACCTGATTTGCCTGAATATCTCGGATAAACTCCTATTTGTGAAGACGAGGGACAAATTTTCAGCAGTTGTTACGTTTTTCGCGCCTAGTCAGGCTTTATAGACTTCGTTGCAGGAGAAAATTTGGAGCTTGAGATTGTATTTCGAGTAAACAATAAACCGAAATTATTATTATACGGGATTTGACAGATTTCAGTCAGCCAAATAACCCAATTGGGAAAAATTCGGCGGCCTCAGTGGGACTCGAACCCACGCCAGCAAGGGAAGGCTTCAGTACAGCCAACGACTTGGGCGTGATTAAACTCCCTGCTCTTTCTGGGAGGAGGGGTAGGGGGACTCGATAGCTCAGTTTGTTCGAGCGTTGGTTGTAATAAAACTTTCCCCTTGCTGACGTGGGCTCGAAACCCGCTGAGGCCGCGAAATTTTTCCCAATTGGATCAACTGAGGTAAGCCGAAACCCAAACATTCAGGAACAGGGAGCCAGCAACAGTGGCATGCACACACACACACACACACACATAAAGTCTGCTTACCTCATCTAACTTCTCCGGACGATGAGCACCCAAAAAGGTCTGACCCAACGACAACAGCTCAATATCTCCGTCGGCAGAGGTGTGTCCATTGGCGAGTTGGTTCAGCTGACTGCCTGAGGCAGATTCACACAAGTGCTTTAGGTCCGCCTTAAGTGTCAGGGTTGGGAAGAAAATGAGCATAGTCCTTGAAAGGGACATAATGATCGACGGACAACAGGTAACAAAGGACTAGGGAATAGGAAGAAA